AAGAGCTTCGTGCAAACTCCCAGGTTTCTCTGTATGGCTCCACTGACCCTCCCAGCCACACCCCCATCTTCCCAGGCCACACCCACACCAATGCTTCCTTGCATTCCTTTAGTGTTTTTGCCTGGCTGTACTGTGTCCTTGAACTCAAATGGCTCTTGCTTGCCTGGACGGAGGATGGAAAGGGGTATGTGAATGTGTCTATCAGCTAGTCTATTGTACAAATGTAACACTCACATTCATTGATCCACCTGCTTTTGCCTCTGGCCCCGCCCACCCAGGCACATGACCCCAGGAAGGAGTTCATGAAGGGAATGCAGACCCCAGACTGAACAGGATTTCCCTACGCCTGGTCTTTTTGAAGGGCCCAAGCATTTCCCCCCTCTCTTTCTCCCTCTTTTCCTCCAAGATTTGAGATTGCGCCTAGATCTGAACCTAGGCATGGTGAGAACTTGAAGGTGTCCCAAGAACGCGATCCCAGAAGCTGTGTTGCTATTGCAGGGGGTGGGGAACTGCCTCCCAAATTTTTCGTGTCTCGGTGACCCATAAGGTGACTGGGGCATGTCCAAGTGGACAGCTGTGGAGTTTGTGTTGGGTATCGGAGAGGGAAGAGGAAAGCTAAGCCATTGGCGGAGGTGGATATTCTCGGTCCCTTGCCACCTGGCTTGTTCTTTTCTGCAACCTGGTTGTTGGATGGCAGACCTGGGGGAAGTTGATACAGGGAGCTCAGAGTAGAAAATATCTCTCTCACCCCTTCTGCTAGCAGTTAACTGTAGAATACTGGCTTGCGCTGGATGCGCACGACATTGTATGTGTTCAGACCCGGAGCATCGAAGCCAGGGGACAAGCCCTTGCGATCAAAAGGGTAGAAATTGAAGAGCTGCCCATCCTGGGTCTCCAGGGACACGGAGGCGGAGCCTAAGTGCAGGGTGCATGGGAATTCCTTATCAAACACCACCTGGAAGACGCGGTCCTCAAGGTGATGCAGCTTGATGGTCCGATAATTCTCCGGGATCAGCTCCTCAATGTGCGGCCCAAACTGCTGCATGACCAGCACTCCGCCACCCCCAACCTTGATCTCATAGAAAGTCAGGTTGGAATAGGTGTAGTAGCCAACATAAGGAGTAGGGCTTGGGGGAGGGTTGAGGCTCTTCTCTGCCTCGCGAAAGGCGGACTCCATGGCGGGGATCAGGTACTCGTAGGTCTGAGCTACGACGTCTCCTCGAGGGCGGGGACCAGCCATCAGCACAATGAAGCTCAGGCGGAGCTTGGGGACCAGGGAGAAGGTGGCCGAATAGCCGTCCAGGTCACCGTCCTTCCTAATGATGTCATAGCCCAGTTGCTCGTTGATCTCCCAGGGCGTGCCGGTCTTGTTGGCAAAGTATTCGCTGGAGCACTTGAAGAGGGGCGTCAGCATGGTCTTCACGGTGTCAGGCTCCAGGAGACGTCGGTGGTACGTGCCCAGGAAGACCATGGCCAGTTTGGCCAGGTCAGCAGCTGTGGAGTACATCTGCCCAGAAGGTCTGTACCAGCCCAGGTCATAGAGGGGTGCTGTCTGCCCGCTGCTGTAGAAACCCACGGCCATCTGAGAGCGGATGGGAGGCGTGATGTCAAAGCCCGTGTCCTCCATCCCCAAGCGGTCAAGGATGTTCTCAGAAACCCAGCGCTGGTACTCGCCTTCTGCAGCATGTTCAGCTAGGACGTGGGCCATTAACGAGAAAGCCAAGTTGCTATAATGACATCTGAGAAGAGAGAAAGAGAGATAGAAAGGAGCAAACCTTTTTCCAGGGTGCCCACTGAGTTTGACCTGAAATACTTGATGCAGTCATCCCACCTGCATCACAGAGACATGGATAAAGAATGTCAACTGGAACTTACCATGGTGCTAATGCATCTTCTTATTCTATTAATGCAAATTTTACAGAGATGGGCGAAATGGATTATTTGGTGCTGTCTTACTAAAAGACCCAGGAAGACCTTTCTAAGTCATATTTGGCTTATATATTGGCTGGCAGGGGCAAAAGAAATAATGGGATCTGCAGTGTTGCAAAGATTCTGTTTCCGTTTGGGTCAGTCATGCCATTTAATTTCTACGAATCTTTTCTGAGTAGGACTATCACTGCAGATAACTCTACGCATGTTTACTCATTTTATGCTATAAATTATATGATTTCCGTGTTTTGCACATAATGAAGTTTGCATTGAGATTCCTGCATTTCAGGGGGTTGGACTAAATGACTCTCAGACCCTTTCCAACTCTACAATTCTATCATTGAATGAACTGGAATTTGAGGATGAATGAAAAGTTGCCAAAAAGAGCAACACTCCACGATCTCTGTATGCTTCCAAAAATCTCACTCAAAAAGAATATCAGTACAATGGTATGCACAATCACATAGGAAGCTGTCAGACCCTTGGTTCATCTCACTCAGTATGCCTACACTGACTGGCAGCAGCTCTCCAGGATTTCAGACCAGGAGTCTACTTGGAGATCGACATGGGTAGAACCTTCTGTGTGAAAAATGGGAGTTCTACTAAGCTACACCACTTCCCCAAAGGATGTAGATAGATACACATCAGAAGGACAACATGATAGGGAAATGCTTTTCATTCCATCCTCCCCACACTCTCATAACTGCCTACCGAATGGATACTGCTGAAGGGGTCTGAATTGCAGCCAGATCCATTGTGAGATTAAACACTTACAAAAAATATCTTAGGAGAGGACAGGAGAGGAAAGGGATCAGCTAAGCTGCTTTGACGATTTCTCACAGCTGAAGCAAGTACATCACCATTTGGTGTCAAAGCCAGAACTGCAGTGTTTATCGTGGATCAGCTCCTTGAGCCTATCCAGCAATACACAAAACCTTGGTTGCAGGCTAATCCATTTCAGCCCTTCAACCGGACTAGTAAACTAGAAAGCTGTCACAGTGAGAAACCAGGTTTTGTTTTACACCTGTACAAATCCAGGTAAAGTAAGATCATTGTCTCACTGTTTGAAGCCTTAAAACAGGTGTGGGGAGAATTTTCAATGGTTGCATTCCTTTGTATGCAACCATCTGGGATCCTGAGGCCAGTGGTGAGCTGGGCCAGAGGCAAAAGTGAGTAGGGCAATCAATATGACACTTACCTTTATACAGTAGGCTATATTGCAACCAAACAAAGGTCAGCAATTTCTGCACCTACACACATCTCTCCTTCCGCCATCAAGGCGAACAAGTGATGGTGTAACAGTTCAAGGACACATTCCAGTCAGCCAAATGCACTCAAGGAGGGCTGGAGAGGGGTGTGACCCAAGGAGGGGGCATGGAACATGGAGACCCTCAGGGACCAGATAAATAGGCTTGGAGGACTGCATACCCTTGCCGGAAATGTGATTGGAGAATGCTGGGTAGGGTACGATCATTCCAGCTTTCCCATAGCTCCCCTTCTTCCCTTCCCCCTGTGTTCTCCTTATATGGTGTTGCAATTAGTAACTGCAACAGTTTGGAAACAGTCTATCTGGCTTGAGCTACAAATCAGCACCAATTGTAACAACCCATTCAGCTCTGTAGTGGTTTGTATCTGCTTCAACCAGATCCAGACAGGGCACAAATCAGCCCAATTTGGCCAAACATGGTGCAAAGTCCTAGGGCATTCTCACCTGGTTCCTGGGTCAGCCACCAGGACATCATCTTTCAGCAGTGCCAATGCTTCTTGGGTTGTCCCTTTCCACAACAAAGTGGTTGAGCGCAGCCGTCGGGGCAAACCTGCAGTACCCAAGACATGAAAGAGAAGTCACTCATACTATCTACTGATGTCAGTTGGGAAAGAGGTGTGCGATAGGCTCTCACTTGCCAGATCTAGGTGGTTTAGAGCAAGGGGGAGTGGATTTCAGGCTTGGAAAACCAGAGCCAGTAGATACAAACTATAGGGAGGGGTGATGGGAGTTTTAGTCCAACAGCTCTCATGTCTCAGCCTGAGGATTCCTCATCAGAGGATGACTCGGAAGCCCTGGAATAGCACCAAGCTTTGGATCAGGCTCAGTTTGAAGATGAGGAACCAGGATCCTTGCATGAGACTATTTGGGGTTGGGCATCTGCACCACGGGAGAGATTGGCTGCTGAAAGTGAGGCTGAACAAGTCCTGAGCCCACGGGAGAGATGGGGCCTTTTATGAGACTGACAGAAAACCCATTCCATCCAGAGAGGTGTCTGGCTGCAGACAAGAACCCCTCAGGAATCAAGTCTTCACAAAAGCAGGATCCTTCTCCCAAGGAGACTTCTGGAGAAAGACAAGCTTATAGGCATCTAATGAGGTCATGGTGTGGCTCCATCTCAAAGACCTCAATGCCATGCTGGGATTGCTGATCAAACAATGTCTGACAGGTTCTCTCCACACATACAATCCCTCACCTGAGAGCTGGCTGGCCATTCTGCGCAAAGTCACCGGGGACGGCTTGAGGGGCAGAGATCCCTTCTCCAGGAAGATCAGTCCATCCGCTGAGTATCTCTGCTCCGACTCTTTGAGCCGCCCTAGGGGGTTCTTAATGGTGAAGCTCTGGGCATAACGTTCTAAAGGGTCGTCAAGTGATGTCACCTTCCCTTCCTCCCACAGCTTGTACAACATGATGGTGGGGAAGATCTTGGAGACACTTGCAATCCTACCAGGCACAAACATACCATACATAATCAGCTGGAGCATGCAAACAGGACACCCTCCAGACATGGTTGGATTTCAGGTCTAATCAGACCCAGGCCAGAACATAGGAAGCTAGCTTCTACCAAGTCAGATCTTTGGTTCACTTAGCTCAACATTGCCTGTACCGGTGTTTCCCAAACTTGGGTCTCCAGCTGTTTTTGGACTACAACTCCCATAATTCCTGGCTAGCAAGACCAGTGGTCTGAGATTATGGGAACTGTAGTCCAAAAACAGCTGGATATCCAAGTATGGGAAACATTGGTCTATACCAACTGGCAGAGGCTCTTCAGGGTTTCAGACAGGGAATCTTTCCAAGGCCTACTTGGAGATGGTAGGAATTGAATCTGAGACCTTCTGCATGCAAAGCACATGCTAAACCACTGAGCTACATCCCACAGGCAATAGTCAGGTATGATGGGAATTGTAGCCCAATAATAGATATGTAGGCTACCCTAGGCTGTGTTGGCTACCAAAGGACTTCCCATGGAAAGCTTCCTTTTCTTGGAAACCTTCCACAGCAAAGGATTTCCCTCACACCTCCTCCCCATGGACGCCATTTGCTGGAAATGGAACCCCTTCTTCATAAGTGTCGTTGAGCCACATAGTCCAAGAATGTAGACGGGAGGATCGGTGTAGTTCAGAAATGAATATACTGACCGGTCGTGGGTTTCTTGGGTTGCAGGCAGAGGTCTTTCTCAGAGAAGACACTGCACACAGAAATGTGCAGGCCGTTGAGACAAGAGACTCAGGCTGTTCACCTCACCGGTCCAGCTGGAGTGAGCAGCAGGCTCACCTGTAAATGGTGTATTCGTTGGGGATGCCAGAGAAAGGGTCGGAGCCGTTGCGTTTCCCAAAGTTTCCTGTCCATAGTACTGTGTCGTTGTAGATGACGATGGCTGACAGAGCTGGCAGGCCAGGGCTCCGGATTTTGTGACGGAGAAGTGTGTCTACCTGCAGGAGATTTGAGAAGGGTAAAGAATGGAGAATCAGAGGCCTTCATCACCATCACCACCACCATCACCACCATCACCACCACCACCACCATCATCATCTCTCTCTCATATATTTCTTTGCTTCTTATGGTGGGATATCTTTGGATTACCCATCTATAAACGCTAGATAATCACTAAGGCTGCAATGAATTTTTACCACCATGAGAAACGCTCCCTGAGAAAACCTGAACTGTTCCTTTTCCACTGCTGTTCCTTTATTGCTTCTGCTTTCTGCTGGGTGCCATTCCCTCTGCCCAACTCTCTGCATGATAAGAGATCAAACAAAGATTGTGATAACGTCAGCCTGTTCTGTTTGGGTGATGATGCCAGAGAGCTAAGCCCGGGCCGGTCAGTACTTCCTGCCTACACTCTGAACAGCCCCAAAACGTAGCCAATCAGACAAAACCGCAATGCTAAATCGAAAGCGAGGCTTCCTACTTAAACTCTGAATGGCCGGCGATGGAGTTGTGCTATTGGTTGATATCACGAAGCCAGCTCAGAGGATGGCAGGGCTTCCCCTACTTGCTCTGAACTTTCTTTCTTTAACCCAATGTGTATACCCCTTAACTCGATGAAAGATCCCCCTAAATAGTTTACAAAGGGCAACCTAAAAAAGGAAAATCCATTAAGAAAGGCCAATAAAAACAAGAGGAAGTTAACGCAGCAAATACAAATAAAACCAGCTCTCTTAAAACCATTACACTTCATAAAACCGCAAAGTTGCATGATAAAAATTACATGCCTGGATAGACTTTGCTGAAATGAAAAAAAGCTAAGCCTCCACCCTCCATAAGTCTCACCAAAACGTACCTTTTCAAGGGCATCCTTCAGTATTGGGATTGGGTGGTCCAAAGGCACGGGGTCTGGGTAACGGGGACACATCTGTACCGCTTCTGGCCTGACCTCCATCACTGATGGGGCTATGAACAGAAACAGAGACAGAGTGGTGGGAATGCCCATGGTTCAGGCAGGGGTGCTTGAGGAATTTGAGAGGCAGTGTGGTGTAGTGGTTAGAGTATCAAACTAGAACTTGGGAGACCAGGGTTCAAATTTCCACTCAGCCATGAGGCTCACTGGTTGACCTTGAGCCAGGCACTGTCTCTCAGCCTGGCTGACCTCACAGGATTAAATGGAGACACCTTGAAAGGTGTGACATAAATGCAGTAATAAAGGAACAAACGTTCCAAATCAATAAAATTTGGATTGGCTGTCCTCCTTTCTACCGTCTTCCTATCAAACAGGGCCAATGGAGCTTCCAAGGGGAAAACAAACACACCCATGGAAAACCTGGAAGCTGATGCATATAGGCCCCAACTTTTGGATCTTTGGCGATTGTTCCTGCATCGAAGGGGGTTGGACTAGATGACCTTTGGGGGAATCCCTTCAAACTCTATGATTCTATGATTCCCCCACCCTTTTAAATGGACACCACTCTCTTCTATCTTGGCTGTTACTGAGTGAGAGGTTGTTGGGAGCTTAAGCTGCCTGTGTATATAAAAATAAAAACCTGCTTATTCGCAAGCGTAATGATGCTGAATTGTTAGGGGTGCTGCAAAGCCAGGGGAGGCAGCTTAAAAGCCAAACAAGGACACTCTCCCCTCCACCCAGCTTTTGTTTCCCTTCCCTCTGCCTCCTTCACAGCCTCTCCATTGAGCTCAGAACACCAGCTGCGTTCTGAAAACCTCTTTTACCAGCAGCTAATATAACTGGAATGGAAAGGGGCACGTTGAGAAAGCAGATGTAGAATTACTAATCTATTGACAGCGGCAAGGCTGTCTGCTTCATTGTATTGGGGAAAGATCACTTCCCCAATTAACGGAATTGGGGCACTGGTATTACGGCTAAGATAGTGTTTCATAGAAAGGTTTGAGACAATAGGCAGAGACATAATAAACATTTTCCTCAATGGTTAATCAGCAGTGGAGCAGTTCAAATAAAGCGACAAGGAAACATTTGCAATGCATTTCTATAAGCGTATGAGAAAAGCCCAGATGCTAGATCAGGCCAAAGGCTCATCTAATTCAACATTCAGTTCTCACAGTGGCCAAGCAGATGCACACACACACACACACACACCTGGATGGGAGCAGCAGCAGAACCTGATTGAAAAAGCATTCCTTCCCCTTTCAGTTTACCAACTGCCTCTGGCAGTTCTGCAGATCAAAAGTGGTCAAATGGGTTTTGCATAAAAATATGTGTTGAAAAAAATAGTTTCTCTCTAGGCACTTTTTTCTCGTTTATCATAAAAAAATATACATACATTGTATGCTCAGGTTGCGAACGTGATTCATGTGGGATGCACGTTTGCAACCCGCAGCGGCGCATCTGTGCATGTGCGGGTTGCGATTCGGCGCTTCTGCACATGCGCAAAGCGTGATTTAGTGCTTCTGCGCATGCACGACAGCCAAAACCCGGAAGTAACCCATTCCGGTACTTCCGGGTTTCGGCGGGTCCGTAACCCGAAAAAACGCAACCTGAAGCGTCTGTAACCCAAGGTATGACTGTATATTGTGTGCATTTTGAGCCAAGGATTGCATCAGGACACTAGAGAAGCATGGAATCTGATCTGCACACTAGTCCAGGAAGTGCAGATCCACACCCTCCAACATTTCTCTGATGAAAATAGGGACATCCTATTCAACAACAATTTTATTATTTAAACCGCATCCATCTTGCAGAGTTGCCCCAGCCACTCTGGGCGGCTTCCGACATACATAAAAAGACATAATAAAACATTCAGCATTAAAATACTTCCCTACACTGGACTGCTTTCAGATGTCTTCTAAAAGTTGCATAGTTACTTATCTCCTCGGCTCAGGGTGCAGCACTACTCCAGACCTCCCAACATTTCTCGAATAGGGATGTCCCACCATGCCCTCCAACATTTCTTCAATGAAAATAGGAAAAGCAGGGCATCCTGAGATCAAATTAGAAACTGGGATGGCTTCCATAAATCTGGGACTGTCCCTGGAAAACAGGGACACTTGGAGAGTCTGCAGATCAGGTCAGATGATATGAGAATTTACAAAGACAAAATTCCTTTGAAAATCCCTAGTTGCCTGGTAGAAGTGTGAACATGGTGCATGTGTGTGTGTGTTATAAAGAAAACCTGTAAACGGTTCCCCCCTGCTACTCTGGCCCCCTACACACTCTTCTGGTGAGAAGTGCCATGAAACTCTTTGGCCAGAATGGGCTCGTTCAGATGGGCACCTGGTTCAATACTTACTGGGCTCCACTTTGGGAAGGCTATACTGCCAGAGGAAGCAGCTGGTCATGGCAACCGAGAGAAGAAAGAAGACGACGAGAGCCACATGGATCAACTTCACTTCCATAGCAGAGAGCCGGAAGAGGCTGTGGCCGCCAGAGGCCTGCTGGGAGCAATGTTCAGGAGATGTTTAGCAAGGTTTTAGAATCACAGCTGAAACCACGGAACGCTACACGCAGCACAGAGAATTACATTTTAAGGACAGCGGGAAAAGGGCCGTAGCTCAGCGACAGAGCAGAAGGTGCCTGCCACATTTCCTGGCCCTGGCCTGAGATGCTGGAGAGCCACTGGCAGCCAGTGTTGACAATACTGGCCTATATGGACCAATGACCTGACTCAGTATAAGACAGCTTTCTATGTTCTTGGGAAGTGTGTGTGCATGTGTGTGCCCTGTAACGACAACATTTGACCTTTTATATGTTCCCTCTAAAAATTGCTTGCTTGGGCAGGGTCCCTTCTTTGTCTATACAGTGGTACCTCAGGTTACATACGCTTCAGGTTACAAACTCTGCTAACCCAGAAATAGTACCTTGGGTTAAGAACTTTGCTTCAGGATGAGAACAGAAATCGTGTGGCAGTGGAGCAGCAGCAGCAGCAGGAGGCCCCATTAGCTAAAGTGGTGCTTCAGGTTAAGAACAATTTCAGGTTAAGAACAGACCTCCAGAACGAATTAAGTACTTAACCCGAGGTACCACTGTACAAGGAGGGGGACAAAACTAGAATCCATTTACTCTGCCTGTCCTTGGCTCTGGCACCTCCTACTGTTGGCCTCCCTGCTTTTCACCCTACCAATCTCAATGGGTATCAGCCAACACTGGCCTTATGAAATGATACCTTTTCCGCCAGTGGTGAAATGGCCAACTGTTTCCTACACTCCTCTGATTCTGTTTGACCTTGGAGGCAGAGATGCTTCTGAGTAACGGTTTCTGGGAATCCCAGGTGGATGCACAAGTCCTGTTTATGGGGCTCCCATGGAGCCATCTGGTTGGTCACTGCGAGAACTGGAAGCTAGACTAGATGGGCCATGGGTGTGATCCAGCAGGGCTCTTCTTATGTTCTCATCTATTCTTTAAATTAAGGGCTCATCCACACCTCCGCTCATCCCATGTGTAGAAAGCACGGGTCTGAGTGGTTTCCCCCTTGCTCCCTTTCCAAGGGAAAACCCATTCTTTAGTGCCAAATTGGAGCAAACAGCAATCCAGAGGAAACACAAATTGCTGCTTGCTCCCCAGGAGGAAGCAGCAGGACAAGAGGAAATGTGGGTAAGCTATCATAATAAAAAATTCTCCAAGCCTTTGATACAAAAACAGTTTTGTAAAAAGCAATAACTTTCAGTAACATTTCCTAGTTAAAGAAAGTAAGATAAAAACAAAGCAAATTATGCATATCAAAAGTAAAACCAAGCAGTGTAGAAAGCAGGAGTCAGAATTGAGGAAACTTTGGGAAAACTAAGTTTTAAAGAGGCATTTAAATGGCATTCCTGTCTGCCTCACTGATTGTCTTCAAGGGACAACCCAGTGGTTGCGGAACAACCAGCAGGGTCTCTTCAGAAGATCTCAAACATCAGCTTAGTCTGTGTTAGGGGAGGTGGTCTTGTAGATATCCTGGTCCAAAATTGTTTCAAGCAGCACCCCCCTTTCCAAAACATCACAGCTTCAGAGAACGTAATGGACACCCCTAGATTTTGACCATTTTCTTCATCTATTGGGTTGAGACCCATAAGGGAATTGCTGCAAGCCCTACGGTGGACCACTTCAACATCATCACATCCCTCCCCCAACTAAATAGCAGTTAACAAGCATGGGGGAAAGTGAGAAAGATACAAATTTATACCAGCTCTATAGAATTTTAAGTGGCATAGGATTCCCTCAAGGAACTGGAAATTTTAGTTTAGGGTAGGTGTCAATAATTTTCTGTTGGATTTCTCCCTCCCTCCCTCCCATAACACACACACACACACACACACACACACACACACTGCAAATCCCAAAGAAGCCTTTGTAATAATAAAAAGTATCCCTTGCGATGGAAACTTCCACAATAGCCTTCTCAACTCTGACTAAATGTAGACAACCTGCGTACCTACCTAATTCAAATGTTATGGAAAAAATATGTAGCCATACTTCGACATCCACATTTCTCTGAATTTTGCCATGCAGTTCTCCAGCTAAGTAATGAGCATGAAAAATGTATCTGCTGGGGTACAATGCGCCTTACTTGGTAAATAGCATACAGGAAAACGGCTTTGCAAAACAAAAGAAAAAAAGGTATTTGGGGCAAAATTGCTTACATGTGTACAGAATTCTCACGCAAATGCTGCAAATTTTCAATAGGGACATTTTAGAAAAATTGAAGTGGAAATGCAGAGAACTAAACTTAAGTTTGGAGAAATAGCAAGAAGCAGAGAGAAACTGAAAGCGACCGCTTTGCCCATCCCTGGGTGTCAGCCTCCCCAGCCCTTGCCCAGCCTTACCAGCAGGACCTGGGGCTACTGCAAGCCCAACAGAAGGCACTCCCTCCTTCTGCAGTCTCGAGGTCTTCCAGGCAATGCCATAATGGGCAAGCTGTCATCCGCAATGGAGCAGCAACCCATTAGAGGATGACTCTCCACTGTGCGCTGTGGACACTGTTGCTGATTCTGGCTGTTGTGGGTCTGCTCCAGTCCCCTTTTGGCATTTCCCCCCCACACACCGCACCAGCTGCAGGCCTCCCCCTCTCCCCACTGTCCTCAGGGACTCCATGGCCCTGCCAACAGGGTGAAAGCCAGAGATTTCCTTGGCTAAACCCCCTGGGGGAGGGGGCGTAAGCTGCTGTGTGCTCTGTTTGTGTGCTCTGGGATCCCTGCTGCCTGGCAGATACTGACCCCAAAGAACTGGATTCTCCTGTCAATCTGCCTCGTTCCAGTACACACACACACACACACACACACACACACACACCCCTCTCCCTGTCTCTTTGCACAGCAGTATCTCACCCTGTGGATGCCATGGCAGTGTCTGGGCCCCAGACATTCCCATACAGGAACATTGGAAACTGCAATATACTGAGTCAAAACATTGGTCCAGCTAGCTCAGTGCTGTCTACACTGACTGACAGACATTTTCCAGGGTTTTCAGGCAAGGGTTTCTCCCAGCCCTCAAGGGAGATGCTGGGGTTTGGATTTGGGACCTTCTGCAGGCAAGGGAGATGCCCCACCACTGGGCTACGTAAATGCAAAACAGGGAGTTCCCTCGAATCTCCTGCAGACGGGAAAGGAAAAACAAGTCAAACACCTAACAGATTCGCTCTTGTGAGTTCACCGCAATGTAATTTCACTCCGGCATGTCAAAGGAAACCAACAGAGCCACTGAAACAACCAGCGATATCAATTTTAAAACCAGCCAGGGTGCAATCTGAGCAAACTCAGGGGAATGGGGGAATACTTAGAGTTGCTTTATTTTTATTTTAAAAAAGGGTTGTTGTGAATAGCATAGTTGTGCAACTCAAGGTGAAACAACATGCTATCTCGGGAAAATATAGGGTTTCCAAACCAAGACTTTGCTGCTGTAACACAAACATGGGGATTTGTTAAGGATGAATTAGAGGGTGAGAATGGAGTGTTTATTTCCTCTGACATCCACTGATTCTCCCCCATAAATGACTCTTTTTTTTTGGTCTCAGAACATGGCAGCAGGGTGGAAAATGTTTCTGCCATTATGTCCCTTTAGGATACTTTTGGGTTTGCCCTGCTTTGCACTCTGCCAAACCTGTCCACATTCTCGATTAACCCTGCAGCCACAGAGACGTTTGCCTCCACACATTTGCTAAATGGATAGAGGGAGATCAGGGTTATGTCTGCTTAGCTCCGCATTTGATGCTGGACATCCCACCGGTCAGTTTCAATTTCTCCCATTTTTCCAATCTTAAATCCAGTTTTTCCACATTTCTGCATCAATTTGCAGTTGCTTCATTGCATTTTAAAAGGCTTCACGGGCATTAGTCAGAAACACAGGATTATATTCAACGCTAGTCCGATTACTCCCACTGAATTGAACAGACATGGCTAAATTTGGTTCATCGATTTTAATGGGTCTTCTCTGAGTCCAATTTAGTTGGTGACATCCCTTACATTAATCCTACCACAAACATTTCTGAGAGCTGTTTTCTTTAATGGCACGCATCCCCCCCCCAAAAAAAAGTCATTTTCACCCATATACAGTATTTTGAATGTATAAGAGCAAGGGGAACTAAGGAAGCTGAGATAGCTCAGTCGGTTGAGCATGAGACTCTTAATCTCTGGGTTGTGGGTTCGAGTCCCACATTGAGCAAAAGATTCCTGCATCGCAGGGGTTGGACTGGATGACCTTTGCAGTCCCTTCCAGCTCTACAATACTACGATTTGATGACCAAGGCTGGGGCATCATGAAAGGAGAGCACATTGCTAGTCCTTCTGGCTGCAGTTCCATAGCCATGGAAACATCCCTACCAAGGCTGGTGCTCCACTGGTTGCCACCCTACTGGGTCTTCTTTGTTAACATAGGAAATCATTGGTCCATCTAGATCAGCATTGCCTACACTGACTGGCAGCAGCTCTTTGGGGTTTCGGGAAGGGAGCCTTTTCCAGGCCCACCTGGAGATGCTGCTGGGGAATGAACTTGGAAAGCAGATGCTCTACCATGGAGCTGTTCCCTTTGATCCCCCTAAGCTGCAATAATAATAATGAAAACATTTGTGCTGGGCTATGGATTGGGGCAAGTGTGTCTGTCTGCACCCTGCATTGTCAGTCTCTGCCAGCTTCTGCCTGAGAAGTGAGACCAGTATTACTCCATTAGTGCAGGATTGCTGTCAGCAGGAGCCCGCAGGAAGTTCAAAACTGGGGGATTCCAGGCATGGGAAGGAGAGGAGCGGGGTCCCACTGCTACCATGGCTGGTGCAGTGATTTGCTTGGCTCCCTGCCTGCCTTTCACTCAGTCTGGCGTGAGTGATGGGCCTGTGAAGGAAAAAAAAGTAAAGCACCCCTGGACGGTTAATTCCAGTCAAAGGCAACTATGGGGTTGTGGCGCTCATCTCACTTTCAGGCTGAGGGAGCTGGCATTTGTCCGCAGACAGCTTTCTGGGTCATTTGCCCAGCAGGACTAAACCGCTTCTGGTGCAACGGGACACCGTGACAGAAGTCAGAGTGCATGGAAATGCCATTTACCCTTCTCGCCACAGCAGTACCTATTTATCTACTTGCGCTGGTGTTCTTTTCAACTCCTAGGTTGGCAGGAGCTGGGACAGAGCAACGGGAGCTTGCTCTGTCGTGGGGATTCGAACCGCCGACCTTCTGAGCGACCTTCTGTAGTGGCAGCATGAGGCCTGCCTCTCCATCATGTCCTCCTGCTGCCTGCCTGGAGTTTGGATCCCCTTGTTGGTTCCCTTTCAGCCATTCTGGCTTCCCACAACGCCACCGCTTTCATCGAGGAGCAGGGATTAATCCTACGAGAATGGGGAGGGGGAGTTTGCGCTTCCCTCTCACGGAGAGATTGCATATTAATTCTCTCTAATGCTTCTCAGCCATGTAGGCAAAATGTGGGGGGGGGGGCTGACCTCAGCTATTTATAAAAAAACCCCCCTTCAATCTCCTCTCAGCATCTGCTGGGGCGGGGGATTACCCCAGCCAATGGGCAGCCCCATCCCTCTCTCCTATAACAAGATCCCCGTGGGGCTGATTACACTCCTGTGTGGTCTGTTTTCTCCTTCCATTTGAATCCTCACTGCCCATCAACACGCTTTAAATTACAAAGCAAGAGGCACAGTCAGGATCTCTTAAGGCAGAGCCTATCTGTACTGACCAAGAGATGCTCAGTCTCCTGAAGAACATGAAGGTCAGAATGAGGCCTGCATAGTCCAGCATATTTTTTTTTTTGCAAGGAGCCTGTCAGTACTGGGTCATCCTGCACATCTAGGCCAGTGGTCCATCAGACAACCTCAACCTTCCTCTTCCTGTATGGTTTGCAAGCAGTAGTGGAAATAATGAAAACATCCATTTAGGTGCACAAGTGAAAATATCTGAGTTCTACAGGGCCGGTAGAGTGAGGCAGCTGCCTTAGGTGGCAGAACCTGGCTTGCAGACCTTCCAAGTGTTGCTATTTTCCAGGGACAGTCCTGGATTTACAAAAGCCGTCCCAGTTTCTGATTTGATCCTGGAATGTCCCACTTTTCCTTAAGACGACCCTATTTCCATCGGAGAAATGTTGGAGGGTATGGTAGGATGTCCCTATTTTCACCAGAGAAATGTTGGAGGGTATGAAGTTATCCAACCCCCAAGCCATCTGAAGGCAGCTCTGCACAGGGAAGGTTCCTAAATGTTTAATATGTTATTATGTTTTTATATGTGTTACAAGCCACCCAGAGTGGCTGGGGCAACCTAGTCAGATGGGCTGGGTATAAATGAATGAATGAATGAATGAATAGGACATCCCTATTTTCACTGGATAAATGTTGGAGAATATGATGGTAGCAACAGTCTTCCCGCCACACTTCCCAAGTCCTTCTCTGCACACAATAGCCTGATGCCTTGGAATACAATGGAGGGTGCTGTCCTATTGCCAGTGTTGATGTAAGATCCAACTGCCCATGTGGTCAGATTCTGCATGTGAAATCTGGGCAGCATCACAGGAACACAAGAAGCTGCTTTATATTGAGCCAGGTCCATCTAAGTTTTGCATTTTGTACAGTGACTATTGGCAGCTCTCTGGGGTTTCAAGCTAGAATCTTTCTCAGACCTACCTGAGCATGTTGGGGATGGAACCTGCGACCTTTGGTATGCAGCCCTTCAAGCTTGTCCTTTGCACCACAAGCAGTCAAATGTCTTGGGCTGAGCCTGGGGTTCTAAAACACAGCGGGAGGGGGAGCCTCCACCAGAACAGCAAGCACCCCACTTCACAACGGATGGAAGGCGATCAGAGCAGCAACACGCAGTGGGAGCAGGTGTGCTCATCCCCACATCCCCTCTGCTGTATATTTCCGTAACACAAATACCAAATGCCAGAAGACCAGCAGAGGCTACTCCATTAATCCCCACCTGCCTGTTTCCTTATTTGCAACCAATCCAGGGATTGGCCCTGCCTGTTAGCAGGGCCTCCTTAAGTCTCAGTGTTGCCCCTTGTAGAACTCAACAGGCTGTGTGTGCAAAACTAAAATGACTGGTCTCTGTCTGGCACTGGCTCTGATTTATCTATTTATTGCATCAACACCCCACCTTTTCTTCAGGGTGTGCTTGGTTCTTCCCCTTCCCCCATTTAATCCCCACAACAACCCAGTGAGGTAGGCCAGGCTGAGAGGCAGTGACCTTGCCAAGGTCACCCAGTGAGCTTCATGGCTGCTTGCTGATTTGAACCCCAGTCTCTCCCAGATCCTAACCACTCTAACCATTGCACCACACTGCCTCACAATAGACAAAGAATCTCAGGAGGTGATTCCACCTATTGAAGGGCGGCTGACGCTCTGCGTCATCATTCCCAATAATAGGCAGGGTGAAAGCAAGACTGTAGGCTTCTTCACTGATTTTTTGTTTTATTACTTTAAAAAATCACGTTATTTAGTATGGGTGTAGGCATGGGCCAGTCCATGAGTTTCTCATCCGTGCCGGCTTTATTTTATTTATTAAATTTCCAAACCGCCCTTCATCCGAGGATCACAGGGTAGTTTGCAATATAAAAACCCACAAAAATGCATAACTAGAAACAGGCAAACCGGCAGCGCCCTCTCTACACAGTTCCTAAAGGTGCAGGATCCCATCCTCTTTTGCATCTGGCTCTCCATCTGGTTAAGGAGGAAACCCCAGCTAACAGCAGGATCCTGTTCTCTCTTTCTAAAAAATATATTTTTATTAATTTTTACATGAAATTTCAAAACAAAACAAAACAACATACAACATATTTTCTCATCTTATTCAGTGTTTTGGACTTCCATCAACCATATCTGAAGATTTTTCAATCTTTATCACTTAATCTGCATTTCATTAATTTCACTATTACTTTTAATAGCCTTTCACTAATAGTTCTCTTCATACTTTTCTCTGTAATATTTCACATAGTCCTCCTTACAAACCTTCTTGCAATCCTACTAGCATAATCTGTTGATTACAATTGCTTTTCAGATAATTCACACAGTCCTCTGAGAATCTCTTATCCCACATGTTTCAAATCCTTCCTGTCATCTTGTCTAATTCTGCATAGTCATTAATTTTGTCTGCCATTCCTCTTTCATCAGTAATTCTTCTTGCAGGATCCTGTTCTCAATGTACTCCTATTACATTCAGTGGGAACTACTCTAGGTGGGTATGCAATGGCAGCCTAAACCCTCATTCTGTGTCCCACACTTACTATGTTTTGGGAGACAGTGCTGAACTATATTAATAAGACACTATGGGGAAAAGTAAGATTTTTCAGAGGTCAATATGCTCTTGAGCTATATACCCATTGTATGGAAATTGACAACAGGACAGTGAAAATGGATTCTATGTGCCCTAACGGTAGCCAAGAGACTGCTACTAAAGAACTGGAAGAATAGAGGTACGATTCTGCTCAATCAATGGCATGACAACATGACAACATTGGCAACATATGAATGGACAGCTTATAGACACAGACTGTCTTTGGATAAATACAATGGAATGAGTTTATACAGAATATATTAGGTTATTGAAAAGTATGTGTGTATTAGGATAATAAGAATATACATATTTGTATATTTATGTATGGTAATGTAACAGTGTTGTTTCTTTCTTTCCATTCTCACTTTTTCTTTCTTCTTTATTCCCACTCTTTTTTATAAATGATTTTTTCTTAATAAAATATTAATATATAAGTTTTTTTATTAAAAAAGAAAAGAAAAGAAAAGAAACCCTCATTCTGCTTTCTGCCCTACATTGCACTACTCATCATATGGCATGGCGCAATAAAGAGTTAAATATTTGTGCTGTTTATCGTGCCCAGAAGGAGACGACCAATGATATCTATGGAACACATGAAGCTGCCTAAAATGCAGATCACTGGTCCATCTAGCTCACTATTGTCAACTCAGACTGGCAGCATCTCTCCAGGGTTTCAAAGCAGGGACACTGCCTGCCCAATCTGGAGATGCTGAGGACTGAACAGGGCTGCTGTCTGCGAAGCAGGAGTTCTACCACTGAGCTACAGCTCTTCCCCAAAGTGCCAAATTTGCAGAACTGCACTTGCGATGACTTGTTTTAAAACCACCTTGGCTGTGTTCCCCTCCTGACTGTCGGGGTTGTTTTGTTTTCCTCCATCATTTCCCCCCTCAGTTGTTCAGACTCGCCCCC